AAGCTCTCTGGCAGAACCTGTGGTACTTGAAGGAAGGTGAGTGATCTGCACAAACGTAAATACTCCTATCTTGCTGAAATCTTGACGGATTTACAAACGGTTTGGTTTCTTACAAACGTTATTAACGTGGCTACAATTCAAATGACAAAAATACAAATATAATACAAAATGATTAAAATACTAATTGTTACTGGCTGTGAGAGTATAACCTAATTAACCATAAATGCAGTGTTGTAACTACACCTCTGACATTTCTAACAAACCAAACCGTTTGAAAATCGGTAGAAAACTGAGCAAGTTATGGTTATTTAAAAAGTACATGCACCACCACAACACAATGTTATGGGTGAGCGCACCGTGCCAAGATGGCCGCCAGTGTGGCCGTGCAATTCCATTGGCCAACAGCGCAGACAACACATCTAGCCTTCATTATACATATCTATGTTCCAGTCTTTGTCAGTGGAACTTGGGTTCTGGATTAGTGGGATAGTGGGATTCCTTGAGCTGTATTCCAGATTCCAAAGCACAAGATTCCGGATTCAACAAGTAAAAATTTCATGAACTCTGAAATCTGGATTCCCTTACATGGGCGAAAGACTGACCAATACACTAGTTTAATCAATTGTTTTATTAAAATAAAACAATTAACAATTAACAAGTGTCAGCTCTCTCTCAGAGGCCACATATGATTGTGTTGTTACACAGTACACAGCAATAGAGCACAAGAACTGCAACATGGTTTTTAATGAGAGACCTTTTCACCTCTGCATTTTATGCCTCTAACTGATTGGTGCAGGTGAGGAACACTTTGAATTTTTAATCCATGCACGTGCACACATTTTGGCAATCAGCAGTCTATCTGTAGAAAGCCTGTGAATCTTAACAACCTTTTGATGTATCTGGGCTACTAGGTCTATTACATATCCTAAGGCCCAATTTGACATTTAGTATCACAAACCTTCATACATGTACTCCGATTTTTAGAAGAAAACAGAAGTTCATTCGTTTGCATCAGTTTGTATTTTCATTAGGGTGAAAATTTGTTCTGTTTGTAGTTATTATGGAAGATCAAATCAAGCTATCAAATTATAAAGATGTATGCATATGCGCTTGCCAGTAACTTCCAGAGATTATTTTACAGCCAAACGCTTTTCTCCTTTTTAGGCGTATTAAGCAACCAACGTTGAATCGCAGGCAAATCAATTTATTTGTAGTAGTTCAGAAGTCATTTTGATAAAATTTTCTGTTTTAAGATGCAGTGTCAGGCGTGCAAGTTTCAAGCAAATGCATTTTTCCTTTTTTGGATAAACAAAAGCAAATTTATTATACAATCATTCTAACATACATACACAGACAAAGTAAGCATTTTGATAGTGTGTTTGACTTAATGAAGAGTAAGTCTCGTAGTTCACTTATACAATAATAGAGGTCATTATTAAGCTGCTGATTCTTATTTTGAGGGCTAAGGACAAACAAAAGCTTTCAAAATGGTTCTATTTCATTCAAGTTGATGGTGTGCAACCACTTTGTGGCATTTTGTGTCTGTTGCTGTGTCGTTATTACAAAATCAGTGTGTTATAATGAAAAAAAATTGAAGCAGGTAACCTGTGGTGGAAGATGTGTTTGCAGTCCTCCTGTAGAATAATTCGGTGAGTGCCCAAAGGCTTTTTTGCAGATAATGTTTATTCTGTCCTCACACAGGCGTGCTGGTCTATGCTAGACAGATAACGAACAAAAAAAAAAGACATCAGGCTGTTGAAAGTGCCTTCATCTATGATGTAAAACTGAAAAATAAACACAAGAAAATATATATCAACATACACTGTGTAAATACATAAAGCGTTCAAAAGAAATACATGAACTGAATGAAAATGCATTAAGCCTAGGTCAATTCAATCAAAACATGCAGCAGCTTTAACTTATAGAGATGTATTTATATTCATGCCGACGACGGGAACGTAGCGGCTGCAATGCATTTCAATCGTAATAACCGAGCACTCATTCATAGCTAGTAAACAGCTAGCAACACACAAAGCTACGTTGAGGCGAATACGACAACATTTATTAATGCGCTGACTTAGACAACTCAAATATTTCTTAAAATTATTTTTCTGGTCTTTTTGCTTTTATTTGATGGAACAGTGAAGAGAGAGAGGAAAGTGGGGGAGAAGAATGGGGAAAGGACTCGAAGTAAAGGGTCTTGAGCGGTACTCGAACTCACGGCCGCTGCATCGGGGACTTCCGCCCCTGTACATAGGACGCCAGCTCAACCAGGTGAGCGTAGCAAACTTGAATATTTCTTATCAATACAATGTTACAACATCATAACCTTTCGTAACTTACGGACAAAGATACTCCAAAGCTTAGAAAACGCCGTTTAAACTGCCCTCGTACCACACTGTGGAGCGACCACGGTTGACTGCTTTACTCTTTGCGAAAAACAAAACCCTACTCGCCTCCGGTCACCAGGGGGCAGCCAAACAGAACAGAACAGAATACAAACAGGCTTTTCGGTACGAACATCTCTGAACAACAGTACAGTGTTAGTATGAAGTCCCACCTTTCAGACAGTATGCTCGTTTTTTTTAAAAGTATGCTCTGGCATTGGAGATATTTTGGCCTAAACTTTGGGTATTTTAATAGTTTTCACTGTTGGCTGACATGATTTGTGCGGTAGGAACTAGTCGTAGAAGACAAAACGTTGACAATAAATTGTCCTTGGGTAGGATAACATTCACTGAAAATATGAAAAGATTTGGCTGAATTCTTATAGCAGTAGAGATTTATACTTTTGACCAATTTTTTAGGCAATTTTCGGTCATTTGGTTCGTACTGTAAATTTTAAAATGCGGCTTTTTGTCGATGTTACACCTTGAGCAATAAAAATCGATCTTTTCTGTTAGTTAACGATGTGCATACAATGATAGTGACTCTCATTTTATTTTACCTTTATTTTACCAGGTAAAAGTGTTTGAGAACCAGTTATCATTTGCAAACATGAAATGAAGTGAAAAATACTTTATTATCCCAGAAGGGAAATTCAATTCAAAATGACCTGGCCAAGAGGCGCCAGCAGGAACAAATACACATGTAAATTAGAGACACAAATAGACACATAAACATAACATGGAACAAAAGTAGAAAGTAAGAAGCATGGGGGCATATGCATGTGAGTGAAAAAAGATATGCATGAGGTGTAAGAAAGTGTGTGTGTATATATAAGTACGTAAGTAAAGTCTAGCATGATCAGCAGGAGCAACAGTCAACGACAATCTGTTGGATTTTAAGATTGAAGCTTGTGAGTGGAGTCAGAGTTGCAAGTTTGAGAGTGTTTTGTAAGGTGTTTCAATTATTAGCTGCTGCAAAGCGAAAGGAGTTATGGCCAAAAATAGTAGAGATATTGGGGATGATGATCATTAATAATAATATAGAATAATCAAATTTTAACTAAATAAACTACAGAAACACACAAAGTCATCACAAAAGACACAAAACCAATAAAAAGAGACACAAAAGCAACACTACAAGACACAAAATGTTGACAAAAAGACACAAAATGAACCTTACAAGATATAAAATCAACAAGACAAAAGCACCACAGACAGAGCCAACTCAACAAGATGCAACACAATGCAAGGAGACACGAACCACAACCAAAACTGCACAAAACCAACAGAAAAAGACACTGAAAAGCACACATACAAATAAATGTACCACAAAGACACAAAATGACATAAAACAAACACAAAGAAGCACAAAATGAAAGAGATACAAAACCATCACAAAGAGACAAGAGAAAAAAACCCCCCACAAAAAACAAAGAGATACCAAACGACCACAGAAACAAAACCAAGACAAGGGCGCAACACAAGATGCAAAACTGCCACAAAAAGACACAAGGTCAACATAAAAAGACGCAACACTAAGACGATGACAGAAAACAATGCAAG